TCGTTTGTAGGGTGCTCAAAATCAATATATATGAGACATTTGAGAAAACATTATTGAGGGGTCTTTATTAACGTAATAGAACTTAAAACAATGACTTTCAGAATATTTGTTTGTACGGGATAATCTCAAAAACGGTTTATTCGATTTTCGAGAGTAGTTTTCACTATGTAACATTTGTTGGAAACAAATATTATGAAAATACCGTTCGTTTTATTTTACTGAAACCTTGGTTAACTATATTTATAGTTTGTGAAACGACTTTAGTATAAATCCCAGATAGGTAAATGGGGATATTTTGCTGGAAGAACATCTGGGAAAACACAAAAACTGAAGCCTTCGCGAACGAAATTGCGGGCAACAGCTTTCTAAATATACCTTTTGAAAACATCTTATGTAATTTATAGAGAAATATGTTTCCTTTCATGATCAAGATAGCTTTTGCTAGAAAACTCAACAAACACAGCTTTGCGGTCTTTTTTCGAAAAAAACCCAAACAATGGTGAGCGGCGTATGTCCTTTTGTGATTTTTTGTGACATGAGCAGGACATTTGACTACGTCAAGCATCTTATTCTTCTAACTGAGTTATCTGCTCTTGGAATCCAAGAAGTAACATCAGAATGGGGTACACCATTTGTTTATAATCTTCAGTATAACATTGAAAGTCTCTTCATACATATATAATTCAAAAAAGTCTGAACAATTTGATATGGGGGTTCCGTTAAGATCCGTGTTGGGACCGACATTGTTTCTGCTGTATACTAAGTGATTTTGTTGAAACTGCAGTGCAACCTTTATAAAGTATGCCGATGATACGAGTACATCAATAATCATCATTAGGAAAACCGATGAGAAAATTATGAGTTATGTGATAAAATGTCTGCATGACGTAATAGAAACTCTTTGTATTATAGCAGTTTCAAAACCATATGATAATCGCCGTAAAATGCAAAAAATTGAACTTTATTGTACTGGAGTCTATTTTTTTCAAGGACAAAACACAAGCACTACAGGAAAATTCTTCAGGCGCTATTAGAGCGGTGCCTGTGTGCAATTAATGAATCGCTGGAGATTAAATCCCTTTGGAAAAACGTTCGCAGAAAGTTTATTCGACATAAACGTCGTTCTCCAAACGAAAGAGTTCTCAAACAGTGAAATTCGATATGCACTGAGTTGAACCTCAAAACGATGAGCTCACACAGTCCGTCGCATATTTCTGATATGTACCGCTCTTGGTGGGATCAAATGAGTCAATTGGGTCGGTCGGTAGCCAGGTGGTTCGACGTGTGTGCTTTGTTCACTCAGACAATCGGCCGATGTGTGAGTCGATGGTTCAAGCCGTAGGCAGAACGCTCGATTTTCACTCGCTATCGTCCAACCCGTGTTAGGAATCACACGTTGAAAGTTTTCGACTTCTGAAGGTTGTCGTTCGTAGGAGTACGATAGCTGGTTAACGGAAAAAACATATTTTAAACATATTTTTTAATCCGATATAATCCAACGCCCTTCGTGGTATTTGCCAGGGGAGTAGTTGTTTTCTGATAGGCGTCAGTCCATTAAACCTACTGTGTAGGTATATAGAGACTGGCTTGAACGTTTGAAGTTTCATTCGCTTTAGATTTGTTTACTGCCAGTCTTCAGGCATAGCCCACTGACTAATAAGAAAGTTTTTCTTCGTTATTCAGAGGAATCGGGCAAATTTCGGATATGCAGTTGGTTAGTACCTCGTCCACTAGATGGAGTGATATTTTGTTGTTCGTTCCAACTTAGGAAGAGGAATGAAATACTCTGAAAGAATTCCGATTTTCAATTATGGAATATCATTGACTTTAGGTCGATGATGGCCACTATCTTGCACTGATGAGTGACTAATGAGCCCGAAACCGGTCTGCAAGTGTGCCCGTTCCAAAATTGAAGGTCGACTCTTTCAGTTGTATTGCCAATTGCATATGCAGAAAATTTTCTGTGAAAATTCCTGCACTGACTCCTGTCGGATATAATCCAACGGCCTTCGTGGTATTAGCCAGGGGAGTAGTTGTTCTCTGATAGGCGTCAGTCCATTCAACCTACTGTGTAGGTATATTCGAGACTGGCTTGAACGTTCAAAGTTCATTTCTTTAGATTTGTTCACTGCCAGTTTTCAAGCATAGCCCACTGACTAATAAGAATTATTTTTTTTTAACTTGGACAATTCCCGTGGAAGCATCTATAGAAGAGAAACAAATCTCCAACCTTTCTTCGATGTTCCAGACTATCAAGGTTGCTAGTGATGTTCACGTCCCCAATCAGGTGGATGGCTCTTTTCTGGATGGAACCCAGCAGCTTCAGGGTATGTTTGGGGGCGGAGCTCCATACATGAGAACAATACATTAAAAAAGGTCTGATTTGAGCTCTATAAAGCATCAAAAGTTGCTGAGGTGTATACAGTTTTATTGTTCAGAACAGTGTTCCAAGCTTTTGAGAAGCAGCCTTTGCAATTCGAGCGACATGATTGTGCCAAGACATATTGGTGTCTATTTCAATGCCCAACAAACTTCCTCATTAAGATATACAACCTCTTGCTGCCGCTGAAGATGTGCATCCGCAGCCGATATCATGGAATCCAAATGTAATGACAAGATGGATGTGCTGTCGTCAACAAAGCAATATATTGGATTCTTGGTTTTTTCCAATAAGTCGTTGATATATTTTACTGGAGAATGACGAACAAAATTTTCGGGAGTGTTTATTCATGAAGATATCAGATGAAAAAACTACTGCAGTTTCATAGTCAGAAAATTCCCATTTCATTATTTATTTAGAACCTCAAGAACTGTACGGTCTCGAATATATGTTAATGGTGTACAGCAGTTCAAGCACCTTATATCTTGTCGCTCAAAAAAAAGGTTCTCATCATTATAGCTATTATAGAAACTCATGCAGACATATTTTTGAAATGAACAAAATTTTAACTTCCTGTAGTCAGTTCATTTTCGAAATATATATACACATCAAGTATAATGACATAAAACAATATCCGGACTGATAGACTGTGATTAAATGGAACCTGAAGTACCAAACGTTTCGTATGCTACTGCGACAGACCTCTTCAGTGGTATGTGCATTGACTTCGAAATATAATTTTTGTCCTCGCAGTCAACGCACATACCACTTATGTCTGCCGCAGTAGTAAACGAAACGTTTTGTACTTCAGGTTCCATTCGAGAACGGCCTACACAGTCCGGATTTTGTTTTCTTCAATCATCTTTCACAGCAGTGAAAGCCTACTTTTTTATATCGTGTTAGGTATACCCTGATTTTGAATTCATTCCTACATAGTTTCAATTCAAGATAAACTGATAACTTTTACTTTCTCTTTTCGAGTTCGACATTCTTGTCTTCTTGGAACCAGAATTTACAACAAATTACCTATTGAAAGGGAGTTAAATTTGACATTATAAGATTTGCGTGTGATTTATAATTATTTTCAATCCATCATTTCATTCAAAACGATAAAATGATTTCCCCATTATTTCCGATATGAGTAATAATGAAACAACTGGTCTACATGCTGTAACTGAATAGTAAAACATTTGAGGGGGTGATTCCTCATCGAAAAAAAGATAGGATCTTTCATATGAAGAAACTTCATTGGAGCATCCCTTGTTAAGATACAGCCCCTTAAAGGAGGTATATAAAATTTGTATAACAATTTTTTTCACAAGCACTGAAAAAGTTACAGTATTGAAATTGACCTGACGTTTTGTACTACCAAAAATACACTTAGCCAGTAATTTATTTAGTTTACCCCATGGTTTTAAGGGGTGGAAAACGCAACCCCTAAAATTTATTTCCAATGTAACTTTTTGTCTTATCATTTGTTTACCATTTAAACATTTATTTCCGATAGCCTGTTTCATTCTAAACAAAAAATGTCTCTTGGGTTTTTTGCCCAAAATAAACGCAGCAAAAAATTATTTTCGATGAGGAATCACCTCATTAAATGTTTTACACTTATTTAGTTACACCCTGTATAGTTATTTAGAGGATGTTATCATAGGAGGATGCCATATATGGGATCAACAGAAACCCTGTATATTGAAGACACGATGAATAAAAGCCTAACTTTGATATCCACCGTCTAATTAATAGGAATTTTTTTTCTCTCTGCAAATTTCACTGCTACCAAGTAACTTAATAATTTATGGTTTGATCTGCTCACAAAATTCATTGTTATCAATTGATAGTTTAAAAATTTAGTAATACTGGAAATATTTGTTCACATTAAATTATTTTTGATGATTATGAAGATTAACAGGTTATTTAGTTCATTAACCAAGTTCTCAATGCGATTACTCTATTTCTGCAATTTAATTGCATTTTTTCAAGTGTATGGATAACTGTTTGGAGAACAAAATAGTTGTTCTGTCCTTGTAAAAAGTGTCAACCGCAACAAAATCAATTAAAGTAGTTAATACGATATCACTAACGAGGTCTATGGGTAATCTATCATGAGTTTCGAATAATATCAGTGTTTAATTAGGCGATTGGTCACTCCCCAATCGAGAAATCATTGACCTAATTACTATGTCATTACGATAGACTGAGTTAGCTGTCCTGTATATAAATAGACATTGAATCAGGCAACAGAATAGTCAATCATTTCTCGATGATGACAACTAGGTTCTCGAAACGTCAAAACTAGTTTTGTCTCAGTTCTGGTATAATTTCGTTAGACTAGTTCCCATAATTGAGAATCGGTGTTAAGCAAAAATTTCAATAAAATGCAATATTCGTGGAGCTTCATAACTTTCAAATCTAACAATTTCCGAAAATATCTGAAAATATTTTAAAATCGAAACTATGAAAAACAAACTGAGTGGTAAAAACCGAACGAGTTTCTGTAATAATTGGAATTGCCTATAATGCCACAACGCCAGATAAGATTCCGATATAGTAAACACTATTAAATCTAGTAGGCATGCAGCAAAAAGCCAGAACACGAGCAACATGTAAATATTACCGTAACAAGTATCCTGAGCGATTCGACGTAGGTTTTTTCGTTGTCGTAGAGCTCCACCACCACGTGAGTCCTCGTGTCCTGAAACACAAAAACACAACAGGTAATCATCTCGGTGTTTTGATAGCAACAACGCGCGTCGTACCGAATGTGACGCATCAGAAGATGAGGACGAGGAGGAGGTTAGGGTTATTGTTTGGACATCGTCGTCTTGGTCGAGACCCGTCGAACACCTGTCTAACTTTAGACGCAATTCACTGCGGGGGTCGACACAATTTTTACTCATTTCGATTAACATTTCATTGTGAACAACATGCCACACCTTAACTTCAGTATTTGGAGAATAGAACTGAAAATTCATAAGGTGGCCCTCGCGCCGACGCTGCTACTACGTCGACGCCTCGCGTCCGTGTACTCCAGGGAAATTAGTCGGAAAATGCGGAAAACGTGAACTCTGTGTGTAGGGGTTGTTGGCTAATTGAAAAAATGTACCTCATAGAGTGCGATCCCTTTAGATTGCTTCCCTGTATAATTTTACCTAATGATATAAGGAACACTAACACCAAGTCAATTAGTATAACATAAAGAAAGGCCTGTCAGCTGTTATTCTTGTGCTTCCCGTGAGCGAAAATAATGTATTTTCCCTATTCATCAATTTGCCATGTCTATGATTATTGCACTAAAAACATTACTGTCAGAAATTCACAATTGAACAACTCACAACACAGCTAATCCCAAAATAATGAGCATAACCTATCATGTGTAATTGATGACTAGTTTATTTTGTTGTAATTCATGACCACTTCAATGAAATGAATGAAAACACTTTTGTCTAATTACCACTAGTTGAGATCAAACCCGAAACCGGTCGTATAAATAAAATCTACCAGTGGTATTTAGACAAAAGTGTTTTTATTCATTTCATTTATGTGAGCATAACCTATGTTTCGCATTCAGATGAACGGATCAGCTTTTTATTGTTTGAAGATATCATTTTGCCAGGTAGCATTGATACCCTTGGCATAAAATATATCTGGAAAACACTCTTTCCACACCGGAACATAAACACTGTATCTCGATGGGCGTTCCTCAACCAAGTTAGCATCTTCAGGAGATGATTAAAACTGAATTTTACATATAAGTTAGGCCTTTTCATATTATATTATCACCTGAAGGTAATGAGGTTCATCAAAAAAATTCCTAGTGTTTTAATGGTTTAAAATGATATCCTAATTAATTCCAAATGTATAAGTTACTGACTGCCTGTTATGTACCTTACACCTGGTTTCTATTTCTGATCATACCATAAGACAGTCAACAAAATGCTATTTGGAATGGACCTTTACAGCTATTCATAGATCTAACTTTACATTTTTCGATTTCTAAACTTTAAAAGACTTCTAAAAGCCTCTCATGTATTGGTCCCAAAAATTTCAAACTTTTCTCGCTTTCTTGTGGCCATTCTCTCAAGCAAGTTGAATGCCAGTAGACTTCTCTGGCTTTCTAAACCGATTATATGAAACATGTTTCTCGAAACGTCTTATAATAGTTCGCTATGAGCAACATACTTTTTGTCATACAGCTTATTTCGTGAATACTAGACATTTCATTTTCCCAACAAGTGTTGGGCAATCCGAAATACAGGGAACGCAAAAGCAATAATCTGGAATTTATGAAATGATCTGTGTGAGGATAGCGATTGCATGTTGGTCAAAATAAGCGTTTCGGTTTTTTAGACCAGAGGAGTCTAGTGTCGCTCAACATGACTTATAGAACGCTACAGAATGAGTGAAATATGTTTATACAAATAATTAGAAATAGAAGCCATGTGAAAATTAGGTACATAACAGGTAATAAGTAAAATGAGTGTTTTGTTGTCGAAGATCTGTTTGTTGGATTTTATCAGGCTAATAATTTGTCTTTCAAATTTTGTGGTTGGATCGTGATTCATCGTACTAAAATCGTAGCCGATGAACTGAAAAACAAAATCACACCACACCACAGCGTCAAAAATTCAATGGAACTCACAGACTCAATCAAAATTATTTCGAATCTGAAGGAAAAATTTATAAACAAACAGATGGACTAG